AGGAATCAGCCTGACGAACATAGTATCTAAAATTCTAGGTTCGATAACTCTTCGACGCCTGAGTGGAGCTCAGGAATAACAAGCCCGAGAAAACCAACAGACTTTAGACCCGACCGTGGGTGTATCGACCACATGTCCACACTGCGCCAGGCACTGGAACACAGGCACGCTTACCGATGTCCGACAATGGCTGTATTTCTCGACCTGAAGGCGGTGGCACTCGACTCCGTTGATGAAGAAGTTTTATGGCAGTGTCTCTTACTGAAAGGTGTGCTGAGTAAGTACATCACCTTATTGGAGGCTGTCTACTCGAACACTTGTGAGCATGTTAGAGCCTATGGTGAGATGTTCAAGGAGCTATGCTCAACGAGTGGTGTCCGTCAAGGCTGCCCACTGTCTCCATTCTTATTCAATTTTATCATAGATATTCTTATGGAGGTTTCCCTCTCGTCACCTGATTACACAGGGGTTGACCTAATCGCAGGAGAATTTTCTTTAGATCTAGAATATGCAGATGGCATAGTCTTGTTAAGTGAAGATACTGGCAAGATGCAGAGTCTTCTGAGCACTGAGTAGCAATTTGAGAATGTTTGGGATGCTTTTCTCACCACCGAAATGCAAATTGTTGCTCCAGGATTGGTCTTCATCGGTGCCACGGCTAACAATAGAGAGTGAAGTGGTTGAGTGTGTCAACCACTTCACTTACCTGAGAAGTGGGATCAACCTTGCCCTAGTGGCTCAGGGGCCGATGAAATCTCTGCACGGATACAAAAGGCTCGACTGGCTTTTGTCAATTTACGCCACCTATGGCGCCGCTGTGATATCCGCTTGTCTACTAAGGGTTGCGTGTACTGCACAGCATTCCGGTCTGTTCTACTCTATGGCTGTGAAATATGGCCATTGAAAGTGGAAGATATGAGAAGGCTTCAAGTGTTTGACCACCGTTGCCTTCGTAGTATAGGCCGTATTCCGTGGTTTCACCGTGTGAGTAACGCAGACGTCAGGTGTAGAGTTCTAGGGAGTAGAGGTAATCAGTTGACGAGGTTATGAACCTTCATCGACTGAGATGGTTGGGACACGTACTACGTATGCCTAGTCGCTGATTGCCTCATCACACAATGTTGGCCGAAGTAGACCCAGGTTGAAAAGGGGCTTGAGGTGGCCAGACTAAAATATGGCACCAATGTATGAAGTATTTGACTGTTGGTTTAAGCCATGTGGGACGATGGAGACTAGGTGGTTGGGGTCGGCGGGACAAGAGGAACCAGTGGTTGGAGACTGACTCTAGTTGATATGGCTCAGAACCGATGTCAGTGGTGTAGATGTATCCCCACACACATTATCCTCATCTTAACGACGCTATACCGAATCTCACCAGTTTCTCTTTCTTTCTCTCTTTGAGTAAGTTATATTTCTTTTGACTGAATTTTCTTATCTTCATCTAGCACCTCACTACCCTTTTACTTGATGTACTGATATGATGTGTGGCAACTCGGAGCATTATGCAGTAATGTCTGGCCCTATGTTGATATTGATGATGACCCTGGGATCTTGGACACAATTTTAGTCAAACTAACTCTCCTATGGTTGTCACAAGAAGGTTTCTCCCTCTTCGTATAAACTGAGGTGATCAGTGAGGTACTTTACTCTGACAGCACTACCTCTGATTCACACTATTTAGTGCCTCCGTCGCTGCGATAATCAATTTCTTACCTCCATTCTTGAATACTTCAGGTGGTGACCTGTCAGGTCCTGCTGCTTCCTATTACTTCAGGTTCGATACAGCATTCTCAGCTTCAGAAAAAGTTGGAAGATCATCTATGTTCCATTAAGGTTCGAACTGGATGGTGGGCAACTGAAGCGTTGCTGAAGATCAGTTGAACTGCTTCAAAGTGTTCTGGCCAACGTCCCAGCTGCCTGTCTCTGAAGGCTACCAGCGTCCCATCCTTTTCGGCGATGGTTTCACTCACCATCGTTTTTTCTTGTCAGTATTCCTGCTAAGCCTAAATAGTTGCCGAGTATTACCCAACTCTGATGCCTTTTCCATTTCGCTTTCACTACCCATCACTGCTCAGGATCGACGCGACGGCTGTTGGTCAAATTAAGCTTAAGTTGCTTTCTCTCTTGATCGTGGTCAGAACCCGCTGGAACTAGTCATCTGGCGTCAATCAGTTTGGATGACGTCCTGGAGATCCACTGACGTTTTTTAACCGGGTGTAGGTTAGCAACTGTCTTCACCGCTGTTTCTACAGCAGACCTAATGTCACGCCAGGTTTCCTCAGGATGAGCATTATTGTCATATTCAAACGAAAGCTCGGCTGTCTCTTCCCTAAACGCATACTTGGCGTCCTCATCTTTCAATCGAACACAGATGGACCTCACTACTTCCTGTTTCCTGTGGTTAGTAAAGCGCAGGCATACACGAGTCCGTACTAGCGCGTGATCAGTGTCCAAACTAGTACTCCAGAAGGAGTTGCAATCTTCCAACGGTGGCTTATAGCAGTGTGATCTATGTCCGTCGTTGGTTTGATGTCGGCGAACGCCATGTGAGACGATGTCTGTCCTTATGCTTAAGACTAGTACTGGCCAGAACAAATGAAGCAAGATGGCAACGTACGATCACTGTTAGCAGGGGATTCCATAGATGCCTCCAAGATGCCTTTCCGATTAGCTCAGCTTCCCTACTTGAGCGTTAAAGCACCTGCCATTGTAACTACCTCTGAACGTTTTGCTTTCTGTAGCAAAGTTGACATTCCATAGAATTCATCCTTTGCGTAGGCCGAGATTACGAATAGGCATCGGTTGGTATCATGATCATTCCTAGTCCTTACAGATCCATTCAGTTGAACAGTTCTTAGGCGGCTGTTTACTGGAAACCAGTTGAAGAGTGCACTTTATGCTCTATGACACTATGCTATGCCCACACCATTGAGTCTACTAGAGCTGGCCATTGCGTCTTCGGATACTCTTGAAGTGAATTTTGAAGATTCACCACTATGTCTAGGCGAAGTCAACTGAATAACCGCACTCAGGTCCTATATAAGTATCTCTGAGATACAGCATACATCCATGGTTAGAAATTCCAGTTTTAGCAACGATGCTTGCTGTCCTATTTGGAATAGAGTTTGGACGTTGAAAGCTCCTACATAAAATCGATATCGGTGTCTTAGGAAACTAGGAACGAGGTTCCGATGGCTTTGATCGTTAACAATGGTTGCATAGTGAGAGATTAGGTAAAGTGTAAGAGGTTTATTATTAGCATCAGGAGGCGAAGGCGAAAGAAGAAAGAGTTGAGGAGGATAAGTTATATGTGATTGGTTCTTGTGTACTACGTGGAGTGTGTGAGCGGTTGACACTTCCCAGCTGCTCACACCGTGTAAGGCTATTTCTTCTTAAGGTACCTGAAAGAGAAAAGATTTGTGAGACCAAAGAGCCCAGGAGCATCCATTTGAGACCGGTCACCTACGGTCCTTTTGATGCCACGACAACTGGCCTGTAGTATTGGAGATGTAGTTGGAGATATATTCTGTGGTTTCGGATCACGACTAGCCACTGATGACTGATCTGTCACTATAATGTATCATCTCATTGTTTAAGAACATGTTAGGGGTGACTTTGTCTAACCACTAGATAAAGGACCTTTCTGGCATGGTAGGACCTCTAGAGGATAAGCGTTCCACCAGCATAGATCGTTGGGTCGTCATGGTACACAAGCCCGATCACCACGTCAAGGTAGCAGCTATCGGTTGGGTCATCCAAGGGAAACACCTTAATGCTGTCACACCTCACCCAACTAGCAGTACGACTTTGCCCTCGGATTCCCATCATAGTGTAGCAGTTTACACTGTAGTGGCAAATGCTGTTCGTCTTACCACTATCCAACTGACCTCGGGGGAACAGGATTCCAGCCAGTGTAACTCGTTGGGTCATTGTGATATACATCCCGACTACCACGTCAGGGTAGCAGCTGTCGGTTGGGTGACTTGCTAATGTGTAACCGAAATACAAACAGATGTCTCAGAATAGTTTTGTTTCCTGTTTTTCAGCCGACTAAACCTAATACCTTCTTCAGGTCCGAAAATATCACGTATCTGGTCTCAGTATATCTGTCAAAATTTGATGAAGGATCAACCGTATGGTTAATGTGCAAATCTTCAGGTCTATAACCTTTGTCTCACCTTCCTTATGTCCACTTTCTATTTAGAATTTATGCGGCTATAGGCATCAGAATTTTGGAAACAAAGTTTAACCGGATTCATCTCTAGCCATTTAAAAAAGTTTTTTTTTCCAATTGTGGGGTCAGTTAATGGAAACTCCCCATTTCTCGCCTTTTTGTCAGTACTTCAGTTTTAATAGCGATTCTTAAGCACCATCCTTAGACTAGTAAAAAGCAACGTTTAACTGTCACTTTGTTGGGTTATAGATTCGTAGTAACATTCCAAGTGTGATATGAGTCGGGTGGTTGAAGTCAATATTTTCATCCAGATTGAGGGGGAGTTAAATTGTCCAGATGAGTTTGACTTCAGGTAAATCAGTTGGTGGGAAACATTTGTTGTTACTAACCTTTTTTATTGGAAACATGACTGCAAAAATTGTCAAATTGAGTGACAGTGGAGTTCTGACAAGGAGTTCATGTTTTAATGCGACCTCACTTTGTTACAGAAAGAGGGAACGGAAACTTCACTTTCTGCATTCCTTTTGCTAGCAATAATGTTCCATTAGGAGTGATGATAAGCTTAATTTTCAGCTGAACAAAAACCCGGTCTTGTTTCTTGCTCAACCATTTCAAGAAAATCACTCTCTGTGTGGCTTAGAATTATAGGTTTTTCCTGCTGATACCTTTAGGATCACTCCTTTCCATCACCAACGGGCACAAGCTACAGTTAACATGATCCTTAGAACCTTTCATCGTTTCCATTCATTGTATGTCTACGGCTGTGTAGTAGACCTTTCCTGAGTTGTTTTGTTAATTCATTTATCTGCATCCATTCTGTCTTTAGATCGTAGGAATGGTTGTTTTGGCTGCTGCATTATACTTCTACTTTTCAACATTTGGAGTTAGAGGTGTACAACAACACAATATATTGGCGTATGCCTATATTTTCATCGCTGCCATTGGCGCTCTGAGTTTTGTACTGGGGATATTGGGTTGTTGTGGTTCATATCACTACAGTCGGTGCTTATTGGGCATTTATTTTGCTGTGTTACTGCTCATTTTCGCTGTCGAAATCGCTATCGGCGTGGCTGGATTCGTTCATCGGGAACAAGTGAGTTTAAATTCATAGGGTTACTGTTCGTGTTACTTTATTTGTCATACAATTGTGCTATATATCTCAGTGTCTCTCGTTTTTATCTGTTGAGCGAGATTTGGTTTCAGTTCATTAACCATGCAGTACTAATAACCTTCACACCTGAAATGTAACAAAATAACCTAGATGTATAGTCGATTGACTGATAAATTACACAGTAATGGAGATAATACTCGGTTATAACATATCTTCACTGACCCACGTTTTTTCTGATTAAGATCTAAAAGAGAGACTGGTATGAAAATTTCTAGTAGCAACTCATTTTAAAACTAAAACCCCACAATCATGAAACCACTTAGTTTTACCACCTCTATGTAGGGTGGTCGACCATGAGTTAATCAAATGTTCAACAATGGAACTGGGATTGCTGCGCAACGGTTCAAGTTGCCACACCTCATTTCAACACATCAAGCAAAAATGTATCAATATGGAAGATCGGGAAATGACAAAGAAAACAATCAAAATTGAATTGGTAGAAACTTGCGAAACAAAAGTCTCCAACCACCCAGTTCGGTTTTTGCGCGAACTCCAACCAGGAACTCTGCATTTCCCTACACGGCTCCTAACACTAGTCAATGACTTTACCGAATAAATAAAAGGAAACGGCTAGAAACAAGTGACTAATTTTCCAGCCAGTCGATGAGGGTTCACAACCTCATCAACCGAATTTCCTCTCTTACCGAACATTCTGCACCTCACTTCTACGTTAATCACCTGGTGTCGCTACGACATGATCCATGCCACGAAAGTAAGGGTGATCGAACATCTGAAGTCTTCTCATGACATCTACCGTCAACGGCCATGTTTCACAGCCGCATAAGAGAACAGAGCGAACTGCAGCACAGGAAAGTCAACCCTCAATCGGTAATCGGATATTATGCAGAAGTTATAAATGGCACAAGTTGGTGAAAGTCAAGCGAACGTTTGTGTCTGTGTAGAGATTTGTCGATCACTTACCCACCAGGGTTGATCTGACTCCCCATGTAGGTGAAAGTGTTCGACGCACTCAACCAATTAACTCCCTATTGTTAGAAAGGGGACCAACACAGAGTAGTTCTGGGGCGACCAATTTATATTCCAGTGGTGGGAAATGCATCCCAAACATTCTGAAATCACCACTCAGGGTATCGAGAAGACTCCGTATCTTGTCAGCGTCTTCACCTAACCGGATCATATCATCTGTGTACTTATAACATGAATAGGCTGACCCTGTGATATCTTCAATTTCGACTTCATGATAACAAACTAACTTGTTCAAAGTGTCCAGTCTACCATCCTATATTCTGTCGTACGAGTAACAGAGACGCCTTAATTCATTTATTTGGTATGTGCTAACACTAGTTACAGTCGACATTCAATACAAACACACAAATATATGAGAGACTCACTTCAATAAGAGCTACTGTGATAACTGAGATACACATAATGAGGAAATTATGCATAATATTGTCAATTCTTTCTTTACAACCCTATCAAGAAAAAGAAAAATGGAAAAGAAATACAATAAGGAAAGTCGCAAATCAATCGAGAATGGCTAATAAAAACGTAAACTGTGATCGAGGTGTCTTTCTACTCAGTGTGTGTATGTGGGGAGGCGGGGGCGGAATACACAGCATCCAACAAGTATTGACAACAATGGCGTTTCTTCCCATTCAAAACTCTCCTTCTTTAAAGTCTATGCATTTTCTTTAAGAAATATCAAACTGTGATAGATATGCGAGAATTATAGGCTGTACAAAAGATTACCCATCACCTGACCACTTCTGTGTGTATATCAATTCACCTGCTCTTGTAGAGTCAGCTAGTATATATATAGATTGTCGATGCGACTGTTATTCAAAAGCATTCAGGAGCACTATCTCACATAGCTACATAGAGTTAACAGTGGATCGATAGGAAGTGCAATAATCGAACACGTCGTGAACACAGGTCACTAAATTACAAGAACCTCATTGCTCAGAGTTATTCATAAAGTGAAAAGAGACATTCCAAAGCCTGTATGTCTTTGTATTTTCTGCATCATCGAAGCTTCTCTTCTCTATTCATGGTCTTTGGAATCACCTCTTTCTTTCTACACTGTTCACTTCTTACGTAATTCACCATTTGTTCTGTTTCTATCCTCTATCTGATCACACTTCAGTTTTCAAACATTTTTCATCTTATCCAAATTATTATCTAAACTTATTAATCTTTACTCAACTCTAGTCATATTCTGATTAATCTTCACTAATAATCACAGTTTTGCTTGAATGACAAATCATGTAGTCTGCTGCATATTTGTTGCCGAGTTTGACAAACCACCTTTTCACTATCTAACCTTATTTAACAAAGGGGAACTGTGCAAACTGTAATTGTAAAGCTTGAGAATGAAATCGTCGAGGGGATTCGATGAAGTATGTTCTCTTTCAGAAGATTACTAAAGAGACATTAGGGAAAAATGTGACAAGGTTAATCACAATGAAGACGGACCAAGGGATTGAGACCTTTAAAGGCACGTTTGTAACATGTCAAGTAAGAATTGAGAGGGTGAATGCCTTTGAGAAACAAAGCTGGACGTACACAGTTCACCCGATCGCTCACCATAAACTGTGATACGTCAGTGGGTATTCAAATACAGAGCTTTGAAGATCGTAATGCACTTACGTGGCGCTCCTTTCAATGAGGGACGCTATCACAAGACTTCTCGACTGATGGAGCTGAATGCCACTTCCAGGTCCAGAAATATAGCTGATGTCGGGCTTTGGTACGTGTGCTTGTATTTCAGAACCTAGCGGAAGCCAATTTCTTTTCAATACAGTACTACCAGGTCTCAAACCTTCCTGGTTTCTTAGGGTTCGCTGTACCCGAGCTTCACGTCTAATGATTACGAAGCCTAGAGTCTTCGAGATTATTCGTCAGGCTGGTTTCCCTCGCAAGAGGACTTGTTACCATTATGAAGACTGCTACAATCAATGTCCAACTTAGCCGAAGTGGAACATATCTGATTCCTATGCGCTAGCTAGCGCTCCAGCTAGCCTGACCAGTAGTCCTCGAGCATCATCCCTGAATAACTTCTGTGCTAGCCCACTTGGTCCTGCTACTTTTACTCGTTTCACTTTACCTAAAGCCTTCTCGGCTTCTGTAAGTTTTGGAGGCCCTACCTCATTGTTCCATTCAGGATCCTACTCGATGGTAGGCAACAGAATAATAGCTGGAGCTTGGCTGAGCTGTTCTTCGAAGTGTTCTGTCCATCTTTTCAGACATTTGACTTTCGAATGCATCACAGACCCATCTTTTTCTGCTGTAGTCTTATTAACCGCTGACGTTTTTGTCCTACTTTTCTTAATTAGTTTAAATAACTTTCTGTTGCTACCTTTCGCCGCTGCCTTTCCCAACGCGTTAACCTTCTCTGTCCACCACTGTTCGTGGTCATTGTATCGAGTTCTTGTCAGTTTAAAGTGAAATAAACTTCTGGTCAGCAGCCGGACCTTGTAGCTCAGTTGGTAGAGCACTGGGTCGGTAACCCGGTGGTCGCTGGTTCGAATCCGGCCGCAGTCCAAATTTTCATCTCACCTTCAATCATCACCAAGTACAAATACTAGTCTGCCAGACTAAGGCTATCTCAGATAGTCGAATGAAGATTCTTTTTTAAATTAGTAGGATACGAGAGGGCTAGGAATGTAATGGTTGGTAATTTTTTTTTACCGAGGACTCCTTTTGGTTTGTAGGTTGTTGTTAAGGCTGGGACATCAACTTACCATTCAATCTTATATTTACTTCCTAACACTTTTGTTCTTTTTACTAGACTCGTAGGGTAATCCACGAAACATTGAAAGAAGGCGTCGAAGACTGGAAACGTTCAGACAATGAAGTTCGATGGATGGATGCCATCCACGTTATGGTAAGTGGCTATTCATTTTCCGTAGTTATTTAGCAAAAGATCAACATATGTTTATTCAGTGTTTTGTAGACTGTATTATAATACTGGTTTTCTTGACCAACCATAACCCCTATTGAGTAATTATTGTTACAATTTCGAGTACCCCTTCACCCAATATAAGTAAAACTTGAGCACTGTGGTAGATTGTAATTTCATTTTAGTCTTTTAATTAAAAATGTCACACAGTAAAACAGTATCATCATTTACTGGATAACGTTTCGGACACAATTCATTGTACATATTTATATCAGGTAAGTAACTCGAAAACTTTGAGACAGAGTTAATATAGTCCTAATTTTCACTCCTTCTTTGTGATGACAATGGAAAATTCTACTACCCTTGTCATCACAAAGACTATATTAACTCTGTCTCAAAGTTTTCGAGTTACTTACCTGATATAAATATGTATACAATGAATTGTGTCCGAAACGTTATCCAGTAAATGATGATACTGTTTTACTGTATGACATTTTTAATTAACAGGCTAAAATGTAAACACTTCACCTACTTTCATCTGAACTGGGATACAGGTTTGTATCTCTTGTGCTGTAGGTTTGGTTTATAACTCATTACTGTTTTTAACGATATGATTGTGTCTGTAGACAAATATTATCAAAATAATGCAGTCAATTTTTTCCCGGCCCATGCATGTTACTAACGGATCTAAACGAAATAAATGAACTCGATGTGAATGAAAGGATATTTAGCATTGTCACTTCATGGTCTATTTTTCTATGTTGGCTAGCACAATTTTGTTGGGTTAGGTCTCAACAACTTGACTGCCGTAAGGATAGTGCGATAATTTGGATTGGTGTGCGATTTTCCTACCATTTTACTTGAATTGAACTCAGTTGTTTTTAGAGAGGATTGTCTAGACTTTACTAGAAGTACAAAACAATTTAATGTAACAGAATTCAAGACATGTGGGTAAAGAGGAGGATAGTCTTACCAATTATGTTATTGCTTATAATTTCTCGTCATTGGTTGAATTGAATTGATCGATCTGTATATGGCCTACGATGCGGATGCCTCGATATTGCCTGTAATTTCAGTTTAATGGGTTTGATGGATAGTGGCTAGCAGTAGGATCCACGATGCACGTTTCGTCCTACTGAGGACTCGTCAGTTAGATATGCCTGCCCCCAGTGGGTGATGTTGCTCCTACCAAAACTCAAACCCAGGACCGATCTGGTCCAACTGACGAGTCCCAAGTAAAACGAAACATGCATCCTAAATTTCACTGCTAGCCACTATCCATCATTACCAGTCTAGCTAATTTACTAATGTGAATAGCTACACAACAGTGCCATGTCCCATGCTATCAACCTGCCTGTGCGCTTTGTCAAACTATAGTCATACTACGCTACCCGGATTTGGAACCAATTAGCTTGTTTCTTTCTAGTGTTACATGTAAGTAGAGTTTTTCTCCCCTCAATATTCCAAGCATTTAAGTCAGCCCTTATGCTTCATCTCCAAATCATATACTGAACTGATGAAATTTAATTTTACTTAAACATCTGCGTTTATTTTTCTCTTACAGTTTCAATGCTGCGGTTACAATGGACCCATGGACTATGGTGTTACACGAGTTCCTTCATGTTGTTTGAATGATGAATGCACTATGGATTTACCTCTGCTTAGTTTTAAAACGGTAACATTTTTTCTTCTTGAGAACAATTTTGTTATTCATTTCATAAACTGTATATACATGAGGTTGATGCCAGAGTGGAGAATGCATATATTTCGTGTTTGTCATTAGTTACTGACTTCTAGGGATTTTTATGCGTTACACAATGTGATTTTGGCTATCTTTTTATCAACTTAGTGGCACTACATTCTTGGGTTGGTTCCATTCCTTGTTAAGTTGTCCAGAAAGGTTATTTCAAAGTAGCCTTGTTTGAGGCTGTGCATAAATGAACTAGACTTCTTGTACACCCTTTGTTTGTAGTTGCCATCTTAATTGGCTTGTCGAATGCAAATAACTGCCTCCCAATCTCAATCATAACTTCTTAACAATATCGGCAGTTATTGCAATACCGATTTCCATCCAGTGTCACAATATAATAGACATCTTCTGGTTAGAAAACCATGGGTTTCCGCGTTTTTGCGAGATGATTTTTGCCGTAAACAATTTGTCATTAAAAATCTTCCTTCAGTTGTTGAAACAGACATTTACCGACGTCAGCTTATCTGAAACGTCACTTGACTCTTATGACAATATGCCCCACTGAAAGAGGTCGTATTAAAACATGCAGTTAGTCGTATACCTTGAATGGTGTCCTTCACGGAAGTCCACTTTCATAGATGTGTTTATGGGGGTGTCTGTTTATCTGACTTTACAAGGATTGATCTCATCACAGAAGACTCAGATTTGGAGCAGACAGGAAATCTAGTCTTGTTACCCGAAGATGTTAATGAGATATGAAATCTTTTATACATTGAATGATAGTTTAAGAATGTTTGGTATGTGTTTCTCACCATCCAAAGACTAACTGGTTGCTTCAGAACTGGTATGCGTTTATACCAATCCTGACAATAGGACAGGAAATGGAACTTATATCAGGTCTGATGGATCAGTATTCGATGAAATCTGTGCACGGTTAGAGAAGTCCTGATTGGCTTTTGCCAACTTACGGAACGTATAGGGTCGATGAGATATCCAACTTCCCACTAGAGGTTGAATATACTCCTCAACAGTTATCACTGTCCTACTCTGGCTGTAAAACATGTTTATTAAAAATAGAAGAGCTGAGAAGCCTTCAGGTGTTTTACCACCGTTAACTTCCTAGCACTGGCCGTGTGTGGTGGAATCACTGACTGCCCACTCATGCGATATTAGCCTAAGTAGGCTTCGGATCTAGAAAGTTTAGAAGCAGCCAGATTGAAACATGGCATCAGTATATGATTGAAGTGTCTAACTGTCGGTTTGAATCTTCTAGGGACTTGTAGATTTCTAGGTTAGGGTCCACATAAGAACCAAAATCGAATATTAGGGACTAGGTGGTAAAGCTTAGATCGATCTTAACGGTACAGATGCGTTTGCACATTATCTTCATCCTAAACGTCATATTCTTTACCCTGTCCTTCCCTCGTTTTATAGTTTTGAAAAAATCACTTTTTTACCTTGTGTGATGATAACGTGGACCTTTTGAACAATAATTTCAAGCCCCATATCGGCATTAACTGACTGAACGCCTAGGTGTCTAACCCAACCTTAAAGCTATGTTCGAAAGGTGTCACTCTCTTTCATCATTTTAGACAAACATGAAGTATTAACCACTCATAAATCATCAAGCAGTTAGGGGATTCTTTCCGATGACATTAACTGCAAACAATCTAAACAACTGTCTTATGCTGCTAAGGTACATCAGCTTGATTCATCTTTTAAATTATACCGTCACCCAGTTTCCTAGTATCCTTTTATCACTTTAACGCAATCACTAATGTAAGCTTAACTAACCGATTTTCAGTTGTAAACTGTTGAATTCATATTTAAGTGCTGAAGAATAAAATGTACACAATTGTACGAAAAATAGATACTGACAATGTGGTTTGTGAGTAGTTTCCCGATTATGCGTTTACTCTTTTCTGATCGTTCTTGGATATCCTGTTTCTGACTATCTTCTTCCCTGTTTTGGCTTTCTAAGCCTGTGAGCATTCATATATCAAACTAGTTCATCAATTTCGAATAATATAGCGAATACTACTCTTCAACTGTTATGTAGAATTACAATTACGATCTTTTTTGATCTGGTATAGTTTACAATACGGTGTATTTAGTCTTCCAATTTTGTTAATTAGTGTATTCTGAATACCTTGAATCGAAGGTGGTGTAACTTATTCATATAAGCAATTACCTACTAGCCAGTATGCTATGGTAGACAAATAAAATCAACGTAGAATCTCGGACACAAGTGCAACGGTCCAAGTTACCATACTTCACAGTGGTATTCAAAGAACAGGTGGATAGAAAAAGGGTCATATAAAAGTAGACAAAGTTGCGATAGAGAAAAAACAGTTTGAAGATAATGATTATATATTTGAATCCATCGTCCAGACAGGCAATATCTTTGGGGTGGGGTAAAGGTCACGTTCCTGCAGACTAATCTCAGTCAGCATAGTTGGACGAAATCCACATCCTGGGTTCCACTGCTAGCCACTATCCATCATTACTATAATCTCAGTTAGGTTTACTTAGTTTGGTTTTCACTGACTATTAAAGGCAAAGCCATTCGCACTGTGCTCAAGGCTTCATTTCTTTTTTGTATGTAATCTATGGGTGGTGATATATTACACATCAGAAAAACAATGAGCATGGAAAATCAAGTCAAATGAGACAGTGTGACGTTGAATAAATCTGTTTCACAGTCTAAAATTGAAAGAAGAACAAGTATTTCAACAAAGAGTCTCTTTTCGACGATTTCATTTTGAAAATTTGTTAAAGTGTTGTCAGACAAACAAAAACCCAAGGGAAGGAAGCAGAAAGCCAGGTTATCCATTATTGAAAAGATTCTTCAGGAGAACAGACACCGAAGCGCGTTGATTTTGAAATATAGAAGAGAATATACTGAAAAACCGAAACATCTGATAATTGAGAAGAAATCGAGTCTTGTTCGTCTGCTATTCGAGAGAGATGAGATATTATAAAAAACAGATGGACTGATAAAAAGGTGCACTGAAAAAAGTTTCCCTTCTTCTAGACTGTTCTCAGTTTGCAGCAATTATTGTTCACATAGTGATAAATATCTTACGTCATCTTCAATTTTCTTTACCAATTCACATTCATTAGTAGGGCAAGTGCATAGCAAGGACTGAGAGAAGGCCATCCCGATAAATTTATTTCTGATTTGCGGAAATTTTTTTATGATTAGTATAGTGAGACGCCGGATGGAAACTGGACATCAGATTGATATTTCCGAAGCCTTCAGAATAAAAAAAGAAACAAAAGTTACCGATTTACCTGCGCTTTCTTGAAGTTCTTACAATCAGACTTGTAGCACCTGACCTCTTTGTATACCAAAATAAACTGTGAAGTCTTTCTTTGCACTGGTGTTTACGTTGGTTCTAACATTTCTCCCTAATGTCTCTTTAGTAATCTTCTGAAAGAGAACAAGTACTTCATCGGAAAATCCCCTCGACGATTTCATTCTCAAAGCTTTACAATTACAAGTTTGCACAGTTCCCCTTTGTTAAATAAGGTTAGATAGTGAAAAGGTGGTTTGTCAAACTCGGCAACAAAATATGCAGCAGACAATACATGATTTGTCATTCAAAGCAAAACTGTGATTATTAGTGAAGATTAATCAGAATATGACTAGAGTTGAGTAAAGATTAATAAGTTTAGATAATAATTTGGATAAGATGAGAAAATGTTTGAAAACTGAAGTGTGATCAGATAGAGGATAGAAACAAGAACAAATGGTGAATTACGTAAGAAGTGAACAGTGTAGAAAGAAAGAGGTGATTCCAAAGACCATGAATAGAGAAGAGAAGCTTCGATGATGCAGAAAATACAAAGACATACAGGCTTTGGAATGTCTCTTTTCACTTTATGAATAACTCTGAGCAATGAGGTTCTTGTAATTTAGTGACCTGTGTTCACGACGTGTTCGATTATTGCACTTCCTATCGATCCACTGTTAACTCTATGTAGCTATGTGAGATAGTGCTCCTGAATGCTTTTGAATAACAGTCGCATCGAACAATCTATATATATATATATATATATATATATATATATATATATATATATATATATATATATATATATATATATATATATATATATATATATATATATATATATATATATATATATATATATATAGATATATACTAGCTGACTCTACAAGAGCAGGTGAATTGATATACACACAGAAGTGGTCAGGTGATGGGTAATCTTTTGTACAGCCTATAATTCTCGCATATCTATCACAGTTTGATATTTCTTAAAGAAAATGCATAGACTTTAAAGAAGGAGAGTTTTGAATGGGAAGAAACGCCATTGTTGTCAATACTTGTTGGATGCTGTGTATTCCGCCCCCGCCCTCCCCCACATACACACACTGAGTAGAAAGACACCTCGATCACAGTTTACGTTTTTATTAGCCATTCTCGATTGATTTGCGACTTTCCTTATTGTATTTCTTTTCCATTTTTCTTTTTCTTGATAGGGTTGTAAAGAAAGAATTGACAATATTATGCATAATTTCCTCATTATGTGTATCTCAGTTATCACAGTAGCTCTTATTGAAGTGAGTCTCTCATATATTTGTGTGTTTGTATTGAATGTCGACTGTAACTAGTGTTAGCACATACCAAATAAATGAATTAAGGCGTCTCTGTTACTCGTACGACAGAATATAGGATGGTAGACTGGACACTTTGAACAAGTTAGTTTGTTATCATGAAGTCGAAATTGAAGATATCACAGGGTCAGCCTATTCATGTTATAAGTACACAGATGATATGATCCGGTTAGGTGAAGACGCTGACAAGATACGGAGTCTTCTCGATACCCTGAGTGGTGATTTCAGAATGTTTGGGATGCATTTCCCACCACTGGAATATAAATTGGTCGCCCCAGAACTACTCTGTGTTGGTCCCCTTTCTAACAATAGGGAGTTAATTGGTTGAGTGCGTCGAACACTTTCACCTACATGGGGAGTCAGATCAACCCTGGTGGGTAAGTGATCGACAAAATCTCTACACAGACACAAAACGTTCGCTTGACTTTCACCAACTTGTGCCATTTATAACTTCTGCATAATATCCGATTACCGATTGAGGGTTGACTTTCCTGTGCTGCAGTTCGCTCTGTTCTCTTATGCGGCTGTGAAACATGGCCGTTGACGGTAGATGTCATGAGAAGACTTCAGATGTTCGATCACCCTTACTTTCGTGGCATGGATCATGTCGTAGCGACACCAGGTGATTAACGTAGAAGTGAGGTGCAGAATGTTCGGTAAGAGAGGAAATTCGGTTGATGAGGTTGTGAACCCTCATTGGCTCAGTTAACCTGCGCGTGCATGTGTTATTTATGTCTGGTCATCGTTTGCGTCGGCACAAAGTGAATAGGCTTGAAACTGACAGACTGACTCATTGAATTATTGCATGAAATCTCTCACTGTTGATTTTTGCGATGTTAGGGGATGTAGACTAGCCGGTTCGGGCTCCACGTGACAAAAGAAGGTTTTGGTCGGAGAATGTTTGGAATGACTGAGAACGGACCTCAATCGCACAGATGTCTGTACAGAATATCTTCATCTTCATGGTCATGCTGAACGCAGCATTTTCATATTGCTCTTTCTTTTTTTCTATTGCTTTTCCTACTTTTGACCGATCCTTCTTTGTTTGTTTTTCTTTCATCTCGGTCCTTTGTTGTTTCATGTGGTGATATGAGGTGTGGGAACTTGGACCGTCATACAGTTAAGTCTGGTCTTATATTGATATTGATGATGGTGTTATGAATTAGTTTAGGTCGAAATAAATTCCAACTCAATAACTCAGTGATAAAGTGTCCACTGGGAAATCAGACCATAGGTCCTTGATACCTTTAGATAATGTACATACAAGACAGTCTTGGGTCCAAAGAACCGTTCAACTATCTAGTTCTCATTAGTTCATGGTGAAACTATCCTATAGAAAAACCCAGCAACATGTCATAACCTTTCCAAGTTGCATATGGAATTTGAGCTTCTATTAAGAACTCAGATGTAAGCATCTAGGCTGCGGAGATCTCAGGGGAAATAGATGCTGGTGTAAAATTGTTCTACAGTGGAATTTTTATAGTTGATTTCAAGTTCGGTACTCATCACGGGCTGGCAGCAGTTGAAGAACCATTGAAAACCTGGTAACATTGGACAACTATTTCATCCTAATTTGGGACTCCTTAGCACACTTCACACCCACGACACCACAAGGTATCGAACTTAAAACCTTCAGGTAATGTGGCGATCAAGTTGACGTTAACCACTGGGTCGGAGTGCAATGACGAACGGGAAAAATGTGATCGATACACTTTCGTCCATTTTTGCTACCTGCCTGGTTTTCTTGAGTTTTTGAGCTCCAAACGGCAATGGAAGACTATGTACCCAGGGATCTTAGACACGATGTTAGTCAAACTGAGATTCCTCTGTGGTTGTCACAAGTCTTCTCTCTTATGAAGTGAAACATTACGTGATTTAGACAAGTTTGACACGACTAATTCTAATACACTAACTAGCTATTCATTTAGTCTACTCAGTGATTTTCCACCCCTGTCTTTCAAGATCTCTAGTTGCAAACTGTCAAGTCCCACTGTTTTGCATTATTTCGGGTTTGAAACAGCCTAACTTAGAGGAGAGTTGGAGGACTAATATCTACGTCCCATTGAAGTCTGGGTTTGATGTTGAGCAAGTGAAGCGTGGCTGCAGGTCAGTTAAGCTGTTCTTCAGTGTTCTGCCTAACACTCCAGTCGCCTATCCTGAGAGGTTTTCAGGGACTCTTTGTTTTTTACTCAGCTGTCATCTTGCCAGTTTTTTGATAAACTTACATAATTGACGAGTATCACCTAATACTGATACCTTCTCCATCTCTTTCGCTTCCGCCACCCCCATTGGCTTCGATAACTGTGGTGACTTGTAATCAATCGAAGTCATGAAGTTGCTTTCCCTCTTCATTGTGGTCAGAGCTAACTGGGATGAGTCTTCTCGTGTCAGTCATTTCGGATTACGTTAAGAAAATCCGTTGACTTTTGTCAGCTTTTGGACGTAGGATATCAACTAGTTTTACCATCAGTCTTTAGTAAGAGCATTGTTTACATTTTCATATAAATGCCTTATTACCTCCCGACCGATAGCTGCTACCTTGACGTGGTGGTCGGGCTTGCATATCACAATGACCCAACGAGCTATGCTGGTGGAACGCTTGTTCCCTCGAGGTCCTACCATACCAGAAAGTTCTATTCGATAGTGGTTAGACGAAAAGCAGTTACCGTTATAGTGTAAATTGCTACACTATGATGGGGGTCTGAGGGCAAAGTCGTACTGCTGCTAGCTGGATGGGGTGTGACAGCAGTAAGGTGTTTCTCTTCGATGACCAGCAATGCCATGCTGACGCTACCTTCTCAGTGGAAGGGGGGGGTTAGAAAAGATCGGCCCCAAAAACACAAAAGTTCAAAATAATCATACTCAAAAGGCTGTGTGTGACAGGCCTCAAGCGGATGACCGATGAGCTCTGAGGTCATGCAAATCTCCTTCAGGTACCTTAAGAAGAAATAGCCTTCCACGGTGTGGGCAGCCGGGAAGTGTCAACCGCCCTCACAACTCTGTCAGCACCCAAGTTTCTTCTGACTGCTATCCTCCTCCTCCATCATTACCTTCTAATCTTCCTTCACGTCTCTTAATTAATGATGCTGCATCATCTTCAATTTCTCCTACCTCTGCAGCCTTCGACAACGATCTGAGTCCACAGAACAGCATCCCTGGTCTCCTTAAACCACGCTCCAAATTACATATTGGAGCCTTCAATGTCCGCACCCTCCGTCAAATTGGCCAACAGGCTTCGTTGGCAAAGACTCTAGCAACTCGGAGGATGGATGTGTGCTGTGTTTGTGAGACACGCATACAGTGTGGTTATTCACCTGACCTCTCCTGACCAATCTGGTGAATCTGCAAAATTCACCCTTCGAGTTTCTGGAGATTCGATAGCTAGCTGTCGTGGTCTTGCAGGTGTAGGCATAGCATTAAGCAGTAAGGCAGAAAACTCACTACTAGACTGGATCCCAGTTGATAGTCGCCTCTGCGCTATGAGGCTGAACGGCACAGTGAGAACTAAAAGGAATAGTGAGACTCGCCGTTGTCTCTTTGTAATCTCTGCTTACGCACCCACTGACTGCAGTTCGGATGAAGTGAAGGACGAGTTCTACCATAAACTGTCTAACCTCCTCTCGAAAGCCAAACGTTCGGACGTGGTGGTTGTTGCAGGTGACCTCAACGCACAGGTGGGTAGACTGAGTGAGGCAGAAAGGCACTTAGGTGGCACTTTCGGAATCCCAGCTGAACGTACAGATAACGGTGATCGCCTATTACAACTATGCTCAGATAACCGCCTATTTTTAGCCAGCACAAATTTCAGACATAAAGAAAGGCACTGTCTGACCTGGCGTCCACCGAGCTCGACTCAGCGATGGACACAGATAGACCACATTGCTATTAGTCATCGCTGGAGAGGATCGGTGGAAGACTGCCGCTCCTTCTGGAGTACGTGTTTGGACAGCGATCATGCGTTGGTCCGAGCACGTATATGCCTGCGTCTCAATGGACGTAGAAAAAATTTGGCAACAAAACCACTACGAGTTCTGCTGGACAACGAAAACACCAAAGCCGTGTTCAGTGAGAAGTTGGCTAGGCAGTTATCGGAACAAAAGACTGTCACTCATCCAGAAGAAGCTTGGTGCCATCTTCAGTCTACTGTAAAAGCAGCACTGGAGACTGTAGCCGACTCCAAGATAATGGCTAAAAAGAGCCAGTGGATATCAGCAGCTTCTTCCAAACTAATGGATGCACGTGAATGCATCCCTGCAGGCTCTGAGTACAATGAAGAGCGAGCGCAACTTAAAAATAAACTGACGAAAAGTCTGCGCAACGATCGTGAACAGTGGTGGGCAGCAAAGGCTAAAGAGATGGAAAAGGCAGCGGCGATCGGTAACAGTAGACAGTTATTTAGACTTATTAAGGAGACTGGGGGGAAATGGTCAACAACAGTTAGTGAGGTTATAGCGGAGAAGGACGGATCTGCGATTCACTCGTAGAGGAGACGACGGGAATGATGGGCAGAACACCTCGAGGGGCAGTTTAACTGGCCTCCAGCCACCATCGCGTTGCCCACTATCCAGTTGGATCCTGAATGGAACATTGAGATAGGTCCCCCAACACTAGAAAAAGTCGAGAAAGCTGTATGTGACCTGAAACGAGAAAGGGTAGCCGGACCAGACGGATTAACTCCTGAGGTATACAAGGATGGTGGTAGAGTGCTCTTAGGTTAACGGAAGTGTTAACTAGTGTATGGGAATCAAATACGGTCCCCTGTGACTGGTCTAAATCCCAGTCCTCAAGAAAGGTGAGAAGACCTCTTGTGATAACCACAGAGGAATCAGCCTGACGAACATAGTATCTAAAATTCTAGGTTCGATAACTCTTCGACGCCTGAGTGGAGCTCAGGAATAACAAGCCCGAGAAAACCAACAGACTTTAGACCCGACCGCGGGTGTATCGACCACATATTCACACTGCGCCAGGCACTGGAACACAGGTACGCTTACCGATGTCCGACAATGGCTGTATTTCTCGACCTGAGGGCGGTGGCACTCTACTCCGTTGATGAAGTTTTATGGCAGTGTCTCTTACTGAAAGGTGTGCCGATTAAGTACATCACCTTATTGGAGGCTGTCTACTCGAACACTTGTGAGCATGTTAGAGCCTATGGTGAGATGTTCAAGAAGCTATGCTCAACGAGTGGTGTCCGTCAAGGCTGCCCACTGTCTCCATTCTTATTCAATTTTATCATAGATATTCTTATGGAGGTTTCCCTCTCGTCACCTGACTACACGGAGGTTGACCTAATCGCAGGAGAATTTTCTTTAGATCTAGAATATGCAGATGGCATAGTCTTGTTAAGTGAAGATACTGGCAAGATGCAGAGTCTTCTGAGCACTGAGTAGCAATTTGAGAATGTTTGGTATGCGTTTGTCACCACCGAAATGGAAATAGCTGCTCCAGGATTAGTCTTCATCGGTGCCACGGCTAACAATAGAGAGTGAAGTGGTTGAGTGTGTCAATCACTTCACTTACCTGAGAAGTGGGATCAACCTTGCCCTAGTGGCTCAGGGGCCGATGAAATCTCTGCACGGATACAAAAGGCTTGACTGGCGTTTGCCAATTTGCGCCACCTATGGCGCCGCTGTGATATCCGCTTGTCTATTAAGGGTCACGTGTACTGCACAGCATTCCGGTCTGTTCTACTCTATGGCTGTGAAATATGGCCATTGAAAGTGGAAGATATGAGAAGGCTTCAAGTGTTTGACCACCGTTGCCTTCGTAGTATAGGCCGTATTCCGTGGTTTCACCGTGTGAGTAATGCAGAAGTTAGGTGTAGAGTTTTGGGAGAAGAGGTAAGTCAGTCGACGAGGTTATGAACCTTCATCGACTGAGATGGTTGGGACACGTACTACGTATGCCTAGTCGCTGATTGCCTCGTCACACAATGTTGGCTGAGGTGGGTCAGGCTGGAAAAGGGCCCGAGGTGGCCAGACTAAAACATGGCACCAATGTATGAAGTCTCTGACTGTTGGTTTAAGCCATGTAGGACGATGCAGACTAGGTGGTTGGGGTCCACGGGACAAGAGGAACCAGTGGTTGGAGACTGACTCTAGTCGATATGGCTCAGAACCGAAGTCAGTGGTGCAGATGTATACACACATTATCCTCATCTTAACAACGTTATACCGAATCTCACTATTTTGTCACTCCTCTTTCCTTTCTTCTCGTACTTTATATTTCTTTTGACTGCATTCACTTATCTTTATCCTTCGTCTCACTACCTTTTTACTTGATGTGCTGATATGATGTGTGGCAACTCGGACCATGAGGCAGTAATGCCTGGTCCTATGTTGATAATGATGATGATGATGGTCCTTCTTAAATGCACACACTTGACGTTGTCATTTTGTAGTCGAGCACGTGGAAGCTTCACTGCTGCTTCTCTGTTGCGGCTACTAAGGTGCGGACATACACTTACTCGTACTAACTGGCAATCAGAGACCAAGCGGATACTTTATAAAGAGTGACAATCCTCCAACGATAGTAATATGGTCAATCTGTGTCTATTGTTGGTCTGATGTCGGCGGATGCCATGTAAGACAGTGACTCTCGTGATACTTGAAGTTGTTGCTGCCCAGAAACAAGCGATTGTCGGAGCAAAATTCCAAGAGACGATCACCATTGTCGTTTCAATGGCACGAGATTCTATAGATAGCTCTGAAACGCCTTTTCGATTAACCCAGCTTTTCCACTGGAGCGTTGAAGTCACTTACCACCACGACTAAATCTGAACATTTTACTTTCTTTGGCAAAATTGACAGGTTTTAATCGAATTCATTATCTATCGTCCGAACTGCAGGTAGTGAGCACGTAGGCGGAGATTACAAATAAGCATTGGTTAGTCTCACAATCTTTCCTAGGCCTTGCTTGCTGTTGGTACTTCTCGGATGCCCACATCTTGGAAGTTGTTTCTGTAGGCTACCTGAAAGAGAAAACTGATTACTGGTGGTGCGTGACTGCAGAACCCAACAGACATCTGATTGAGGCTGTTTATACGCAACCTTTTTGGAAGTTTCTGATCACCATTTAATTGTGTTACTGACGTGGGAGTAAAACCTCTTCCGATGGTACCGGAAAACTATAGGGAGAAGAGAGTGTTATTTTGGGGACCACGTTTCCCAACCCCTCATTATAAGGAAGACAAAATCCACATGGTACCACTTGTCGTTCGTTTACTGCTATCACATGCCCCCCAGCCAGCAGTTCTACTTCTCTCTCGTAACTCCATCATGCCGTAGTAATGTGTACTATGGCGGTACCTACTTCTCCTCTTACCACTGTCGAACAGGCATTTTAGCATGGTAGGGAGGACCTCAAGGAATAAGCATTTCAGCCAGCATAGCTCGTTGGGTCACTGTAATAAGCAACCCCCGCTAACACGTCAAGACAGCAGATATAGCAGTAGTCATGGTTCATTGGATTAGTCACTTGGCTTTCAACCAGCTGGTTATTTAATCGAGATGCATCCCACCTAATGAGGTTTGAAATGCCAGGTATTATTATTTGTTTGTATGCAAAAGGGTTTGGATTCATGTGGGTTTCTAGTTGTTGTGTCATTTTAATGTATTCCAATTTTAGTTATTTTGTTGAATCTTTAGCTTTCGTATTGAATGGTATTTCTTTTTTCCAGCTGATTGGATTGATATTTGCCATGACACTTTGTTGCGCTGTCAGCGGACGTGATCCGAACGCTTACTACCGAGCAGTACAAACAGCTTGAAACATGTCCCAAGAAATCCCCAAACCTTATTGATCTCTTCGAAAATTTATCGTATAATCTTTGCTTTTTATACACACATACACAAATTAAGCGCTTTTGATTCGGTTTCACTTCAAAATATAGTGGAATATATGTATGACTAGTAAGTCTTCTTTACCTTTGGCAAAAATGCTGCCATTTCAATCATTACATCATCGTGAATGTTGTTGTCCACTTTAGTCGGTTCCACATACATACACACAGATATTATAGGGGATGGGGCAATCGAATTTCTGATCTTTTTTGTTTCCTTATATTCTTATTGTACAAAGAAGGGAGAAGTATACAGAAGCAGTGTATATCTCACGCTTCACCGCATTGAATATTCATATACATATGTATGAAAGTGAAAAGTAGTCCAGCATTTCCAGAAAAAGGGTTTTTCGTCCAACTTTTCTCAATATTTTGCATCTTTTGTGAGTATTTATAACTAGTTGTGGCGAGAATCTTGTCATGTGCATCCTCTCTGTTTATCTGTAGCTTTTTGTTGTTGTTGTTAGTGATTTTTCTGTCATTCCGAGTTTCCATTTTTCGGTGAAAATTATTAAGTGTTTATCTTTGTGGGTATTTTCTCGATTTTCTAAAATATTCCTTTTACGGTGTACCTGATTGTTTCCCTTGTGCTATACGCACATCATGACTATCCCTCAACCTGGCTGAATGCGTATCTGCCCGTTATAGGACTTCTCCGCATATTGGAAACATTTGCTTTCAACTCTTCAATCCAGCTCGCTCATCACCTACCATTTTTCATGCGAGACGCTATCATCCTTTTTTGTATACGCTTTTTTAAAAGTTTTTCTAAATCCACACACAATATGTTATGTATGTATCAACAGCTCGAATTCCATGCTACTTGTTTTGATTTCGGGTTTCATGTTTGGTTGGATATATGGTGAAATGTCGTCTACTCTTGCTTTCCAACCGCCAGCTACATTCATCCCTATTACCATTGACTATTCGATTATTATTTCATTCTGCCTCGGATTACCTCTTGGTTTCACATCGATGACAAAACCTTTTTCTACCACTATCTAAGCGTATTTGATTGTCAAATAATCATTTATATATTACCTCTATTGCTAAAATTACACAATATATAAATAATACAGTATATAACATGTTTGATGTGTTATGTGTCCTGAAATGTTAGTTACTTTCTCCACGTCAATGGTTATCTACGTTTCGCATTGTGTATAATCTCAGCTGTTTGACAATTTCTCTACCTTTATATATGCGGTTTATGATTTTCACTAATACGGACTTAGACTGCAAACTGACGAGGTCAGTAGAACAACGCTGTGAAATAAAAAAAGAAGTGCCGAAGCTTTCTAATTGTTTTTAAAACAAGTCAATTTGGAGTTTGTGCAAGTAATACATCACTTATTTCTTCAAAGCATATACGGAAATCTCATCAATATTGACCGGGCATTCTCGTGTCTAAAGGAAGCGCAAGGGTTTGCACACCAATTGTGTTGAGGGGGGAGTACATTGATACTGCGAAACCGTTGTCAGCATATAGCAATCGCTATTCAACCAATCATCGATTCAGAAGAATAACGAATTTGTAGACTTACTTAATTCCCCACAGGTTTTTTTCCGTCTCATTTGTGAATTGTGAATAAACTATAGGATGTATTCGATTGGCGATTTTCATTTTTCGTGTATGGTTTAGGCACTTAATCTTCAATTTAGAGGTTTGTCGATGGGTGAGCACTGCTGAGAAGTTTCTTACTTGGACGAAACAGTTGCCCAGTACTCCAAGGTTTTCATTAGTTTTCCAACTGATGTCAGTCTCCGATGAATGTTCTCCGTTGAGCTCAATTTCCAGCCGTTAACCGATCTGTTGGATACATACTGCATCTACCGAGATCCCACCAACCTTGACATGATGTATGTGGCTGAAAGTATTGTTGTACGTGGTTTCTATGTGACATCGTAAACCAGCAATGTAATAGATCTAAACATATCCCAAGGAAAACGAAATGCATGTGTCGAGATGCGCTGTTAACTTGCTTGAAAGTCCTATCTTGGTGTAATCATTGTATATCATTATCAACATAGTACCAGGCAATACTGCGTAACGGTGTAAGTTTCCAGACATCAGCACAACAAGTAAAAGAGTAGTAAGATGAAGAAAGAAAGAAAAATCGGTCAAAAGGAGTAAAAGAGAGGAAGAAGGAATGAGAAGATGCTGAATTCAGTATAGCGGTCTAGATGAAGTGTAGGTGCACCTGAACCACTGACATCGATTCCGAACTATATCATCTAGAGTCTTCAACCACTGGTTTCTGTCGTCACGTAGTCTCCAACCGGCTAGTCTGCATTTCCCTACACGGCTGAAACCAACAGTCAAGGACTTCGTATAGTGATATTGTATTTTATTCTGGTTATCTTTAACTTGGTTTCAGCCTTAAACCTACTTCATGTGACATGGTGCGACAATGTAGGTATAGCATTAAGCACCAGGGCAGAAAACTCACTACTAGACTGGATCCCAGTTGATAGTCGCCTCTGCGCTATGAGGCTGAACGGCACAGTGAGAACTAAAAGGAATAGTGAGACTCGCCGTTGTCTCTTTGTAATCTCTGCTTACGCACCCACTGACTGTAGTTCGGATGAAGTGAAGGACGAGTTCTACCATAAACTGTCTAACCTCCTCTCGAAAGCCAAACGTTCGGACGTAGTGGTTGTTGCAGGTGACCTCAACGCACAGGTGGGTAGACTGAGTGAGGCAGAAAGGCACTTAGGTGGCACTTTCGGAATCCCAGCTGAACGTACAGATAACGGTGATCGCCTATTACAACTATGCTCAGATAACCGCCTATTTTTAGCCAGCACAAATTTCAGACATAAAGAAAGGCACTGTCTGACCTGGCGTCCACCGAGCTCGACTCAGCGATGGACACAGATAGACCACATTGCTATTAGTCATCGCTGGAGAGGATCGGTGGAAGACTGCCGCTCCTTCTGGAGTACGTGTTTGGACAGCGATCATGCGTTGGTCCGAGCACGTATATGCCTGCGTCTCAATGGACGTAGAAAAAATTTGGCAACAAAACCACTACGAGTTCTGCTGGACAACGAAAACACCAAAGCCGTGTTCAGTGAGAAGTTGGCTAGGCAGTTATCGGAACAAAAGACTGTCACTCATCCAGAAGAAGCTTGGTGCCATCTTCAGTCTACTGTAAAAGCAGCACTGGAGACTGTAGCCGACTCCAAGATAATGGCTAAAAAGAGCCAGTGGATATCAGCAGCTTCTTCCAAACTAATGGATGCACGTGAATGCATCCCTGCAGGCTCTGAGTACAATGAAGAGCGAGCGCAACTTAAAAATAAACTGACGAAAAGTCTGCGCAACGATCGTGAACAGTGGTGGGCAGCAAAGGCTAAAGAGATGGAAAAGGCAGCGGCGATCGGTAACAGTAGACAGTTATTTAGACTTATTAAGGAGACTGGGGGGAAATGGTCAACAACAGTTAGTGAGGTTATAGCGGAGAAGGACGGATCGGCGATTCACTCGCAGGGAAGGCGACTGGGACGATGGGCAGAACACTTTGAGGAACAGTTTAACTGGCCTCCAGCCACCATTGCGCTGCCCGCTATCCAGTCGGACCCTGAATGGGACATAGAGACAGGTCCCCCAACACTAGAAGAAGTTGAGAAAGCGGTAGGTAGCCTGAAACGGGGAAGGGCAGCAGGACCAGACGGACTACCTGCTGAGGTATACAAGAATGGTGGTAGAGTTCTCTTAGTCAGGCTAACGGAAGTGTTAGCCAGTATATGGGAATCAAATACGATCCCCTCCGACTGGTCTAAGTCACTGATCATCCCAGTCTTCAAGAAAGGCGAGAAGTCCTCTTGTGATAACCACAGAGGAATCAGCCTGACAAACATAGTGTCTAAGATCCTAAGTTCTATAATTCTCCGACGCCTGAGTGGAGCTCGGGAACAGCAAGCCCGAGAAAACCAGGCAGGCTTTAGACCTGGCCGTGGATGTATCGACCAAATATTCACACTGCGCCAGGTCCTGGAACATAGGCATGCTTACAGACGCCCGACAATAGCTGTATTTCTCGACCTGAAGGCGGCATTTGACTCCGTTGATCGAGAAGTCTTATGGCAGTGTCTGTCACTGAAAGGCGTGCCTAGTAAGTACATCACCTTATTGAAAGCTCTCTACTCGAACACTTGTGGGCATGTTAGAGCCTATGGTGAGTTGTCCAGGGAGCTATACTCATCAAGTGGTGTCCGTCAAGGATGCCCACTATCCCCATTCTTATTTAATTTTATCATAGATATTCTTATGGAGGTTTCCCTCTCGTCACCTAATTACAAAGACGTTGACCGGATCACAGGTGAATTTTCCTTAGATCTAGAATATGCAGATGACATAGTCCTGTTAGGTGAAGACGCTGACAAGATGCAGAGTCTTCTGAACACTTTGAGTGGGAATTTGAGAATGTTTGGGATGCGATTTTCACCACCCAAATGCAAATTTTTGCTCCAGGACTGGTCTTCAGCGGTACCGCGGTTAACAATAGAGAGTGAAGTGGTTGAGTGTGTTGACCACTTCACTTACCTGGGAAGTAGGATCAACTCCGGTGGGTTAGTTGCCGATGAGATTTCTGCACGGATACAAAAGGCTCGATTGGCTTTTGCCAATTTGCGCCACCTATGGCGCCGCCGTGATATTCGTTTGTCTATTAAGGGTCGCGTGTACTGCACAGCAGTCCGCTCTGTTCTACTGTATGGCTGTGAAACATGGCCATTGAAAGTGGAAGACATGAGAAGGTTACAGGTATTTGACCACCGTTGCCTTCGTAGTATAGGACGTATTCCGTGGTGTCACCATGTGAGTAATGCAGAAGTTAGGTGTAGAGTTTTAGGGAGAAGAGGTAAGTCAGTCGACGAGGTTGTGAACCTTCATCGACTGAGATGGTTGGGACACGTACTACGTA